AGTTAAGATTTAGGTGTCCGATACTTTCCTTTAGTGAACATACTAAATTATCACGTTATGTGTAGTATATATGACGTTTACTTTCAGACTAAAGAACAAAACTTCTTTGAATAAGGAAACCTGGAAAAGATTTTAAAAACAAAAAATTTTCATACCTAATTTTATAATCTCGAATGCGAAGCATAGACGCTTCATGTTCAAAGAAATTGCAATCAAACTGATTAAATGCCAATACTCACTTAATATTTACTTAAGGATGAAAAATCTGTTGTAGAAAAAGTTTTTTTTTATTATACAAAATAGTTTTATAATATTCGTACTCATTATTTTGTAAATTTTTCTAATACGTGATTTGAATTTTGATTTTATTTAAATGTTAAACACACACTTGGAAAACATAATCAACCTAATTTTCAATGCGATTTGTTAAAAACAAAAAAAAATATTTTTTATACTTTATCTTATTCTGTAAATGAATTTCTAATTTAATCATAATTAAATTTTATTATTATTTAGTTGAGATATGAGATATCAAAGATATTTTGCCGTAATTTTTCTTAAAATAAAACGAAATTTTTCCTTTAAAGAAGAAGATTATAGCATTGTCAATAAAAAATACAAAAAGTTTATTACGTTTTTTAGTGATGACAATGACATTAGGAAATAGGTTATCAAATCAAAATTTTTAAATATATTCCAACTTGAAATTTTTAAAAATATTCCTACCGACTCAGTTTGTTTAATGGCGCCAGATGGAAGAGAATCTCAAGCGCCTGCGTATATTGGTGGAGCACAATACCCCACAAATGCATACCATTGCCATTCTTTGAATTTTGCTTATCAATTTTAAGCTCACAGCTGTACGGAGCACTGGCCACCACACCAGAACAACGTACGTTAGAACCGGCCTCAGCACTGCGGTATATAGCCAATAAGCCATTCTTAGTATCAGACCACACCTCTTACCAATGTCCTTTTTATATGAGTAAAGCGCAATAGTTGCCTCCCTTACTCTTTCCATAGTGGTGGACCTCAAGTTCAACTTCAAATCAAGAACTAGTCCAAGGAACCTAGCCTCCTTGCTAACGTGTAAGCGGATTCTGTTGAGTTTTGTTGTAGCTGTGGTTGGTATCTTGTATCTCCTGCTGAAAGTAACTAGTTCCGTCTTTTGTGGGTGCTTGTGATAGTCAAACCGCAGTTGGCAGCCCATCCAGAAACGAGGCATAGGGCCTTCGCATGAGCCCAGTCATCAGAGTAAGCTACCACCTTTTAGCCTCCTCCAGGCATAAAAGTAATTGATTATTCATCAGGTTCCAGAGAAGAAGAGAAGGTATACCTCCTTCCGGGGTTCCCCTGCCAACGGAGCGCTCAATGTATGAGTCCCCAAAACTAACGCTGATGGTTCTGCCTGATAGCATGTTGCCTATAAGAGCGCTCAGAAAGCCATGAACTGAGAGCCCCGACAGCGCCCGAGCAATAGCCCGCGGCTCGACATTCTTGAATGCACCCTCAGTATCCAGGAAGGTAGCCATTGTATACTCTCTGCAGTCTAGAGATTTTTCAATAAAGTTTACCAAAGAGTGGAGGGCCGTTTTCATTGACCTCCCGTTACGGTACGCATATTGTGCTGGAGATATAAACCTAGCATTAAGGTTACTCCTTATGTATACGTCTATCAACTTTTCCAATATCTTTAATAGAAATGATGTTAAACTGATAGGTCTAAGATCCTTTGCGTAACTGTGAGAATTTCTGCTAGTCTTGGGATTGAAGACCACCCTAGCAACATTCCATGTTTTTGGAATGTAAATTAAGTCTACACAGCACTCATAGATGATCTTAAGCCAAGGAAGGATGACGGAAGTCATCCTTCAGCGTAGAAAACAATAATAAATAGTAAAACTACTGCACAATATTAAAATATATGCACTATGCACAAAACAATGAAAATTCAATCCTTGAAGACTTTCATGGATATTATTTTAACGGTATTATAATAACAAAAAAACAAACAGAATTTCAACGGTCCAACACAATGAAAGTTATAAAAGTCATAAAGTAGAATTGAAGTAAGGGAAAAATAATTTTTTAAATTTATTTTCCACCATGAACTTCATAAATAAAACTTAGGATACGTTAAGGATTATTAAGAGTTTGTATTTTGGTATTTTAATTTGTGTTTTTTTTTTATCTTAATTTTAATTGTGTTTTTCATATTCGAAATTTTTAAAATGTTAACCACATTTTAGTGATATTTTTTTATTTTTAGTGATATTTTTTTATATTAATTATTTTTAGTTTGTTGTTACTTGAACAGCTGAATGTGTTCCTTTTTAGTGTACGTAAAATTCCTACCAACCGCAACCATAGCAATTAAAGCAATTATAAGAAGAAGTGCTTGCACACATATGATTCTATTTTCTAACATTTTCTTTAATTAAAATAAATTAGAGTAAACCACAAAAGAAAACATTTTTTAAGGAACATACCCAATATTTTCCGAATTTATGCTAAATAGAAATTTTCTTGCTAATAAATTATCTAAAATTTCCCAATGTAAGAACTTAGTTTTGGGACGGCAGTATTTGATTTCACAGAAACCATAAAAACATAATATGAAATAGGATAAGAATTCGAAGTGAAATATTTTTTGAATTTCGAAGAAAAATCTGGCTTGATCGTGTTACCTTTAAGTACAGGTCAGTACAGTTCATTTAGGAACTATAATCAACTACTTCTTATTCTTACCAGCATTTTCGATTAAATGGGATGCAGAAATTCTGTTTTATTTCTTTTGCATAAGTCTAGGAGAAATAGCAAAGCAACAAAATCCAACTCACATCACGAATTTTCTAAATTTTTACCTATATGACGAAATTTATAAAACATTTTAAAGATATTATTAAAACTGTTATACGCAATTTAGATTCGTTTAAAACAAAAAATATCTAAATTCAGACTCTTTAATAAAAATTTAATAATTTTTTTCAATCTTTTCTTATCAGTGCAAAACAACATTAAACTCGGAAACACTTGAGTCATTACATAGCAGTTTCATTTAACAAGCAATTGAGTTTTAAATATTTTAACCCATTAACGCCCATGTGTATAAAATTTCCAATCCAAAATATGCAAAATAATTTTTCTTGTTAATAAATTTCTTGGAAAATGTACCTACTCTGTACTGTACATATATATATATATAAATTCAAAAAATTTTCATTGTGCATATAGGGGGGAAATTACCATTTTTCGAAGAAAAAAGTCTAGCAGTTTATCATATTTTTTCAATGGGTACCCTAAATATGTCATGAAGTGTATGAACAAATTTTTATGGAATTCTATAGGAATCCTATATATGAATTTGGTCCATGGGGTCCATAAGGAATATTTTAAATTTTTTCCAAGTAAAATATCCTGTGGCTTCATAATTTGCAACAATTGTTCTTCTATTTCGTACAAATAACTATGATAACTAGATATTTGAAATAAGTATTAAATGAAATTGAATGCAATATTTTGATCTTGCTGTGATTAAGTAAACAGCTTTGTTATTTGACCTTACTGAGAAGCTAATTTAGAATTAGAGAAGCACGTTTCATTATTTTTATTTAATTTTAATCAAACAACTCTTTTTTTTTCAACTCTTTTCAAATACACATAATTTTTTTTTTTTTTAATATCTCAAAAGTTAATTTAAAAGTTAACCATAGAATTTTTCCATTATTTGTTCTCGTTAATTTTTTTTTTATACGTATGTACCGTTGTACCCCCTACTTGAGAAACTAATTTATATGTACAATTGTAAATATACTCACCACATCCTTATATTGTATGTATGTTTTTTTTTTATAAAAATGTATATGTATGGATGGTGTATTTTACTATAAGTTGTTGAGCTAAAATTTATTTTCAGTTCCTTTTGATCCCCTTTTTTTTCTCTCTAATACTGCACAAAATAAACTTTAGAAACTTTTTGGTATCTTTAAGGAAATAAAGCAAAAGTATAACTATGTGATGAAAACTCCTATTCCGTGTTTTCTATAAAAATCAAACCACATTTATGGGGCCTGAAAAAAGCAATATAAGAAAAAATAAATCCTTAGTGACATTTTGTGAAAAAGAGAAAAAGTTATACAAACAAAATAAAAAACCCTAAATAATATTTATTTTATACTTTCCTTTATTTATATATATGTATGTATGTATGTATATTCGAAAATAAATGTTAAATTAAAATACAATTTTAGTATTTTCAAATATCTACAACAAGTACCTCCAAGGAATTTAGGAATATTTCGTATGGAAAAGTTGAAACTTTTAAAATTTCTTTGTAATAAAAATTGCTATACAAAATTGTTATACAAAGAACAGTTTTTAAAATTTCTTTTAGAAATTAAGGTCATCTTGCATTTTAAACATTTAATTTAGTTGATTGAACATAAACATTTTCTTCTCCTACTTCAAATGCGTGGATAACTCAATTAAAAAAGTTAAATTGTTCTATTTGACAATGAATTTTAGATGAGTAAGCAAAAGATCTTTTTCACTTGCCTTGTGCAGAGAAATTAATTCAACTGAGCTATAAGCAAGAGTGAATGAAGGCCGAAGCCGGTTTTATAATTTTTTTTTTTGGCCACCATACTTTTAGTGGTTGAGTAGGTGTGGACTAAGTAGTTCTAACGAAAATCGCGGCAAATTTTCGCTTAAATTGCTCCCACAAATTTTCTTTTTAAATGAAGAGGTCGTTTCGTTATCAACTCCCGCGAGAACATATACCATATAATACAAATCATTTTCAAAATGTCAATACCTTCTGTTGATTTCCCGATAAATAAACGAACAATATTGATTAAAATTTAATTTTTATTTTATTTTTTATACAATTTGAGTTGAAAAGAACACATATCAAATTTAATTAATTATTTAAAAACTTTATTATATTTTTAAAGTAGAAATATACTTAAATATATTTATTTTTATTCAATTTTTTCTTTTAGGTACAATCATACCAAAAACGGTAATTCACATGAAAAAACATCATGGTTAAAACAAACAAAGTATAAAAAATAACAAAAAATAAAACAAAACTACAAAAATTTTATTCAAAAAAAAGAAGTACAGAACTTTATAAAAATTTATATTTTCAACGACATCTATTGATATTTAAGTAAATTATAATAATAAAAAAATTAATAAATAAATAAAAAAAAATTTAAAGAAATTTTCAAAAGAAAGGTGAAAGGGTTAGAAAAAATTATACAAAATAATAAGCAATAAATTATATAAAAAAAATAATAAATAAAATAAATAATTTTAAGATTAAATCAACTGGAAAAGTGAATAAAAAAAATATTTAACCCTATTCGGTTAACAGCTGAAATACGGAACCCAAAAAACAAAAAAACGAATTCAGCAATAAATGTAAATTTTTTTAAATTAAAAACTATCAACTACATTATACTTACTTCATTTCAACTACTTTTACTCCAATGCACTATGTTAACACTAATATTATTAAAAAATTAAGAGAAAATCTTTAATTTTTCTCCTAATGTAATTTATGAAAGGACCAAAAAGAAAACGTTCGTTCCATTTACAAATGCTATCGAAAGAAAAATTTTTGTATATAATTTCTAATATTAATAATTATTTTCAATTTAATTAATTCTATTTAATCAAATTTAGTTAATTGTACTGAATAGAAATTAAGAATTCAAAAACAAAAAGACATAAATTTAGAAAATAACGGTTTTTCCAGTTTTTATGTTCAAATTCAGAAATGGTAACACCAAAAATATAAGATTAAGAAAAAAATTAGATTATAATAAAAAAAACAACAACTTTTAAAAAATAATAAAAATATAATTTTAAAATATAATTAAATAACCAATTTTTATAAAAGCATATAATCGCTTTGAATTAAAATTTTATCATTTAAAAGCAAAAAAATAACTGTATTAATTCTTTCATTTGATAAAAATCTGAAATTTTTATAAAAAATCACAAAAAAAAAAACGAAATAAAACTTTGGATGCTCAAAAGTACATTAAAATTTAAAAACAAAGAAATTTAATAATAACGGCATCACACCAACAATCAATGACAATCATAAACAAAAATATAACAACAACCGATAGAGAGAGAGAGAGAGGTAAACCCAAGAGAGACTTTTAATTTTATTAGTTTGAAAGTTTGTTTTTAAAAGATACGAACATTGATGCAAATTATTAATAAAATACGGAAATACATAAATATTTATATATATATAAGATTGTATGCAGAGAAATTATAGAGAGAAACGTCAAAATTATAAATTATTTATGGTAGTTGCTGATATCGGAGTAGCTATATTTGAATTCAAGAGAGAAATTTCAAAAAGAAACTTACACTCATATTTTTTTACTTTAAAATTTTCTTTAAATTTTCAACTTATTTTGCAAATTGAAATGTACAAAATATAAAAAATATAGAAAATTAATGAAAAATAATTCGTAAAAACTATTATTATGTATGAATGCGCGCAATTAAAGCAATTATAAACCAATGAACATACATACGAAATAAATCAAAAATAAACGGAAATAAATGAATAACTGTTTAACCTTAATCAAGGTTATTTTTAAAATTACTCAATTGTGTCAGCATAAATGTATAATGTTATGTTCGGGAGGCATCATTTATAAACGAATCTATATTTATTATAACATTATCACAAGTTTAATTTAAAAATAGACACCAACCCAAACATATAATATTAATATACGTAATAAATAAAATTAAAATATAAAAATATTATTTTACGTCATCGTCATGGCTATGGAATGGGTTACAGCTATTGATAAGAGGTAAATGGAACTATTTTTATATTATAAAGAAATTTATTTTAAAATTGTAATTTATAGGTTATAATTTTTATTTTTAATTATTTATAAAAAGATACAATTATGGTTATCAAATTATTTTTCTCTCATTTTTCTTTTAATTTTTATAAAATTACACACACACTGCCTTATTTATTCTAAATATAAAGATTATTGATTCCTTTTTAAATAAGTATAGAAAAATTTATTAATCAAATTTAAAAAAAAAAAAAGGAACTGAAATGGATTCCTTTCATTAAAAAAGAAGATTTATTTTATAGAAGCCATTCAAATTTTAGGATCACAAAACATGTTTAAGTTAATGGTCATAAAAATAATTCGGATCAAAATTAAATTATCGTCGTGTATGGTGGGAATGTAAAATAAATCCTTTTTTATGATTCTTATTCTTCTTATTATGATTCTGAATTTTAGATATTGAAATTTAGAAATTTTTGTTACAGATTTTAAGGCGAATACTTGAGCTTTTACACTTTCTGCGACCAGTTGTGTTTGAAATTTCTCTAGAAATTAAACAAATCCTTCAAGTTTATACCTCAATCAATAGATTCAAATAAAACTCTCATATCCAATCTATTCTGTATGGTCTATACATGCTATACATTAGATCTTGTCATTTGCACATTCATATTTAATGAGCATCCATAGCGTTCGATTTTGTTGGCATGAAAGTCGAACGTTCGGTTTTACAAAACGTACGAAATTGACAATCAAATTTAGGCAGATTACTAAAATAAAAAAAAGTTTGATCATTTAAAGTATCCAAACTTTACAGCAAACTTTTCTAGTCACCAAAAAATTTGTAGATGCATAAGTTTATTGGCGATCAATTTTACAATATCGAACACAATATTTGGTATCTTTTAAAGCCAAACATTTTATAATGACTTTATACCCTTGAACAGCATTTTCAAAAGTTTCTTAAAAAATCACCAAACTTTTTTCTTTTATTGAACAAAATGCTCTTCTTAAACGCAAAATTTATTTTTATTTTTAATTTATACCTCACTGATGCCTGTCCTATAGATAACTTCCTTTGATTCCATTCTCCCTTGATCCCGGAAAGATAACAAACTTCAAAAAACAAAACTTGATATAAAAACTTGTAACCACATGTAAAACAATGGAATGATTATTTTTTGATTACTATTGAAAAACGTGCAGTGGTTCCAGCAGACGCCAAATGAACATCAAATTTACTATCCCATTCTTAAATATTACAGATGCTGTGCTAATAAAATATCTTATGATATTTATGAAAATGGATAGAGCAGTTCATAATATTGTAGGCGTTTGTATATTTGCGATTATGTAAATACTATTTAAATGAAGAAAAATTCATATATAGCCTAGCTATTTCATTTTTACATAAAATTCATATTGATAATCATGAATATTATATTGCATATTTTATAGTTACTTCTTAATGTATAAAGGGTGTTTTTGAAATAAGTGATCACAATAGAAAATAGTTTATATATAGAATGAATTCGAAAATAAGATTGCTACTGTTCGGACATTTTCATGAGTGGACCAGATAATTCTGAATTTTTATTGTTGTTACTCTCACTCTACTATACAAATTAAGCAGGATACTTGCCATTACATTTATGAATCACTTTTGAAAATTTTAGGAGCTTACTTGCACACCTGTTTGTTGAAATATACTTGACTTATTCGACAATATTTGATTCACTTAATTCAGAATATTAATTTTGGCACATTCAAGTTTTTAAACGTCTAAATCGTAAAATATAAATTTCTGACATAAATAATGTATAAGATTTATTGTTGCCACATTCATTGATTCAAACTGAATGTAATCACATATGTGTGCATATATAAATATTCATTATTTTCAATAATAATGTTAATAAACTTTTCTAAATTAACTCATTTATATAGATCAAAGGGAATGAAAATTAAGAAAGTATGTAGTCAATTATCGTCATATCTTTTTTATGAGTAAAGTTTTTATCGGAAAATTACTGTACTTGATTGTAATTGCACATTTATATGTATTATACATTATTATTGTAATATTTACATATATGTGTATGTACTATGTATACGATGTGGCTCTTAAAAAATATGCATATAAAATAAGGTAGATGTATGTATGTAGAAGAATTGAAGAAAAGAGAAACGATTATTTCCTTGAGTATTTTTAATGAGTATTTTACTGTATATTTTATTATATGATAAAATTACATAATGGTTGTAAAGTTCAAGGATATTAAAGGAAATAGAAGTTAATATAAATGCGTGTATAAAAGAAATTAGAAAAGGATAAAAATTGTTTCCAGGAAAAATGAAAATTGTTACGGAATTTACGGAAGTGGTTAACATATCAAGATTCGTTTCGCAAAAATTTATTTTTTTTTTTTCATATTCTCTTAAATATTACATAATAATATGGAATTATGCATATATAGTCTAAGTAATCTTCGGATACATACATTACCTTTGCACCTTATTATAAAGTATGAATTTTGTAAATTAATCCATGAGGTTTTTTTAATGTATTTTGATTGATTCTAGGAATTACAAATGATTTTACACAAAAAATTATAAAGAACCAAAAACAGTACCAGAATCTATTATGTCTTTCTTCTTACTCTTTAATATCTGAAGCGTTTTATTATTTAGTCACATGTAAGATTATTTCCACAATATTTTACTTGCTTTATAAAAATATTTTCAAACTAAACTCAAATTATATGATTAGAGCTCTTTAATGTGGTTATTAGAACAAAAATTCAAGTTTCCCAAAAGTATTCTAAAAGGGAGTAATAGAAACATCCATAAAATGTTAATCTCAAAGAATCCTTTTAAAAGAAGAAAAATCATAATTCTTAAATTTTTTTTTCCACATTTTCTTTTTAAAAAAAAAATGTGATTGTAAATATTTTGTTTCTCTGTCTATTCTTTTTCGATTACGTAAAAAAAAATTTTTAAATTTTTACCCAATTTCGAATAGAAATTTTATATTTTAAACTTATTTCTCTACAACAAGATATTGTGCTGTCTACCCTACCGCTTTTTTAAGTAGAACAAAATTTTCAACTTCACGTTTAGCGTATGATAATGAAATATGGTAAGTTGGGGAATTGCTTTTAATATTATAAGTTGTCGAATGCAAAAATTTTATAAGGAATGTTTGGTTAGGTTAGATTGGCTACACGCTTCCCCTACGTCGGATCCCTCCTTGTCCCCTCCACTAAAACTAGCCTGAATTAACTAGAAACCAACCGATTCTCCTGACATTTACATTCGCTAAGTCCGTAGCATCACTGAAAGAAGTAAGACCCAAGAAATTTATGTCTGAAGTTCGCTAAGGCCAAACTTAGGCACCGAATGTGGGTAACCGTTTTCCTCTCCTGGTCGTCGCAGCAGTTCCTACAATGTTCGTTTATGGGGCGGTTCCCCCTCGTCTTCACGCCAATCAGGCCGTGTCTGGTTAAAGCTCCTATTACACTCTCGATACTCCCTCTTCGAAGAGATATTAGATCCCTTGTGCAGATCAAGTCTAACTTTGACCTCAACTTTCTTGTCGCGTTCCAAGTTATTTCATTTGCCTATTTGAGGTTGATCCAGTCAAAAGCAGAAGTAAGAATTTCAAAATATTTCAAAATTTCTACATTTAACGAAACGAAAAAAAAAGTGTGCGCTTATAGTCAGATTTGAATTTGGAGTTGAGATTAGAGATTGAGATTAGAGTCAAAATGAGATTCAAAGCCAGAGACAAAATTAAAGAGAGAGTCAAATCCAGAGTTGGAAATAGAGTTAGAATAAGAATCACCCCTACCCGAAGTCAAAACTGAGGCTCAAATTGAGAGGGATAAAAAAAATAAAGTCGTATTCGGAATCGCAAAACTTTGATAATGACTCCGTAGATCAATGTATGCTTTAAATATCTCCGCGAATAGCCAAATATGTAATATACGAAATCAATAGAACAATCGGAACAATTCTTTTCAATCGAAATCCCTTTATCTTATTAAATTTTTTAATAAATGTACGAGTACTATTATAATGTACAAATGTACTACAATCTTGTCAACTTTTAAAATATGAGCTCTCATTATCCATCATTAATAAATGAAAAATGAAAAATGTGCTTCTTTTTTTGGAAACAATTACTTGACATTAAATTTATTTTATATATGCACATACACACATATACAAATGTATGTATGCACAGTGTACATACATTAGGAAAACTAAAACACTCTCTTTACTTTTTAATTTAATCTTTTTTTTTGCTTTTAAATAAGGATGTGGAAAAAATAAATGTAAATAAAATAAAACCATTAAACACCTTTAAAAATCGATAACAAAATTGATTTAGAAGGATATAAAAATTAAAGAACAAGCAAAAGAGGCAAAAAACGGAAGAAAGCGTAAAAATAAAACAAACAAAATCGTTACATTTATCTTGTATCATTATTTTTTTTTCTATATAGACCTTTCCTTTTTTTAAGGATATTTTCACGTAGATAATTTTTATTTCAACATTTTTTCTTCCTCCTTTTTGTCTTCTTATTTTTTTTGTTAACGGAAAAGTTAATATTTTTCTAAAATATTTAAATGCAAGAAAAATTGTCGAAATTATTTATTATAAGTATTTTTTTTTTTTTTTTATGTTACCTTTTTAGTATTTTTTGTTTTATCTTCTATTATGCGATTTATTTTTTCAGTTCAACGATTATTTCAACTATATATACATAAAGTGTATTTCTTTTTTCATTTGAAATATTTTCAGGCCATGTGACAGAAATTTACGAGATGCTGAATTAATATCATGTAGATTAAGAAGGGTTGAACCATTATGTAGATTACCGGGTTCAGCTTTACAACAGTTAGCGATGTGTGGATTTTATGAAGATTTAGAAAAAGGTGTAACACGTAAGTAAATAAATATTATGCTGTAGAAATTTTTTATAAGTATGATGTTTATAAGAAAATTGACTAAGTCGTAAAAATTAATTTCGCGATTAAATGAAATTATTACAAAATTATTAAAAGGTAACTTTGATATAAATGCCGCTTATGCTACGGAAACTAAAAAGGTAATGGTCTCGCCCGGAGGAGAAAGACAACTCCCTTCATTGGGCCGGAGCCATGCACTGGGGTGACGATAAAAACGATACTACTCATATTGAATGGTTGTGAGAATCGGGCCGGGTCAATCATTGGCATAACTACTTGGGCCTACCTTGCTGCAAAAAGCTCATGTCTCCCTTGGAGCCGAAAAGGGCGGGAACTGGTCACTTTTGGTCGTACAAATTTGAGGGTGTTGGTAGGTTCTCTCACTGGACAATGTCTCTCAATGGTCCATTAGAAAAAAAAGGCAAGACGGAAAACGATTTCTTCCGTCTCTGAATTGAAGAGCACGAAACGATTGAGCACTTATTGTGTGAATGCGAGGCAGTGGCTTGACTGCGACTGAGATGCTTCCGAAGGGCTTCGATGGACTGCTGAATTGCAATTTTTCAGGGATCTAGTTATAATGTTAATATAGGCGGGCATTGGAATTATAAACGATTCTATGAGTTGACATTAGAACGGCTTAATGGCCCTTCGCACCGGGGAAAAAATGAAATTATTCTAAATAAATTGAAAATTTTGGATTTAATTAAAAAAATTTTTGAATTTTTCGTATTTTGACCTCCCGAAATATCTGAATTAAATCGGGTTTCTTTACAAAATATTGAAAGATTTTGACTCCGAGCGGTTGCAATTCCGTTCCAAGTCCTCTGAATTAACCAAATTCCGACAGAAATGTAGACTAAAACTAAATAATTAAGAATTCAAATTTTTCACTTGAATTATGACTTGGACGGCTTGGACAGTTGTTTCTAATAACAAAAAAAAACCCACCTAGCCAATATTTCTTTTTCAAATTTTTAATAAAATATTTTTTTTCTATTTTATTTTCATATAACACACGTGTTTTTGACTTTGCATCTGTAAAAATTTAAAAAAAAATTTTAAAATTAATCACGAAAAATGGAAAACAATTTATTACAAAAAAAAAACAATCATAATTAATAATCTAAAGTTTTCCGTGCCGGTGAACAAGGTAGATTTTGGTATGCAGTTTTGGGTGGTTCACTTGAAGTTCGATATCATGCTCCAGACGCAGAAGGAAAGGTAAGTGGAAAATTTTACATTTTGAATTTTAAAACTTTTTTTAAAAATAAAATGATGAAAGAAAAACTTTTTTAAAACAAAAAAAAATTTAAATTTCATTTCAAAATTTCTTAAAAATTGTTTTTCATAAAACACACATTCTCTGTTTTTTTTTTTTTTTTGTAATAAAACGCTAATATTTTTGCAGTACAAATTTATTTATGTGTAGGTATACGAATATTTTCCGTCTCTCAAGTTTGTTTTTATACCTGTACGAACGTATGTTCGAACGGTATACTGAATTTGTCTTACCGTTTTGTAATGCTAAGAAATAATGGTCTGAGATATAGACTCAAGTCTATGTTTTTGATCAGCGTTGAACTCTGAGTCGATTTAGCTTTGTCTGTCCGCCCGTTCTTCCGTCCGTCCCAACAACAACTCAAAAACTAATTGAGGTAAGCTCACTAAATTTTCACAAATTATTTATTACAAGAAATGCCAGAACCCTATTTAAATTGAATATGATTGGGGTACTGGTTCGAGTAGCTGCCATACAACTTCAAAATATATTTGACTATATCTTCGAAACTATAAAAGCTGCGATATTGAAACACAACCAAATTAGTAGGGCCAATATGTTTGATAAAAGTTGTGGAAATTGCTTGGCTCTTTCTGATTACAGCCATACAACTTCAATAGTATAGTTTGGCCATATCTTCGAAAATATCGAAAACACATAGGATAACAAATTCGTACGGGAGTATCACAGAGTTGACATGTTGAACTCTATTTTTTCTCATTTTTCTTATAAGTATAAAAAATATTCATTTTCTTTAATAACAAAAGAGGATTACTAATTAATAAAACAAATAAAAGAAAGTATAAAGAAAGTAATTTTGTATTTTTCTTTTTGGTTTTTTTTTTTTGGAAATTTTTTACTACACTTATAAAGATTTTGGCACAATCATAGGATTTTTGTATTAAGACGAGACTAAATCCACTACCATTACCATCACTTTTGAATTTTATAAAAAAAATTGTAGCACAACCTACATTCTTTTGTTATTAATGATTGTTGACGAATGTTATCCTAAAAGTATGCAATTTTTTTTAATTAACATTTTTAAGAAAACTAAAAAAATTGCATAGCACTCAAAGAAAACTAATAATATAATACTAAAGTGACAGTTGTTTAAGACTTATGAATTAATTACAAGAAAATATTTATGAGATTATTTTAAATGAACAAGGAATAATGGCAATTATTCATCAATTTTGTTTGATTTCCTTTGATTCAAATTTCATGAAAGTTTTGAAGTGTAAAATTGTGTATGTTTTTTTTTTTGATGGAAAAAATTGAAATGTCAACCAATTTTCAATGAATTAAGAAATATTCTTGAATAATGTTTGATATCTAAAACTCTACCATTCGACATTAATTCAGTATATAGCAATTATTTTACTTAAATAAACATTAAACACAATATGGTGGTTATTATTAATTCAAGATGAATAAAAAAAATCAGTTGATCGAATTTTTTATAAGCAGCATAAAATAAATTATTCCTTTTATACTCATATTAAATAATTTTAAGTATATTACCCTCTCTATATTATTTTTACAATATTAATATTATTTTATTTAAGTTTAATAGCTATGTATATAACTTACAAAATTTCAAGAATAAATGTAGAACTATATACATACATACATACAGATATGTTGTATATTATTTGAAATAGAAATATAATTTCAAATTCAAAAGAAATAAAGAAATCCCTTTGAAATATACGATTGTAGTAGGTGGTGACTTTGACTTTACGTTTCATTTAAGAATAACTACAAAAAATAAAAATAAATAAATAAAATTTTAAGAAATAAAATGTTTAAAAAAAAAAAAGGACCAAATTGTAATAAAGTAGAATGGTGTAGAAACAAAATGAAGACAAGACAAGGAAAACAGAAAAAAGGAGAAATAAATAAATTCTTTTGAAATTGTCCCCTAATATTTTTTGTTGATATTGGTATGTAAGGACATATATGTATGTATGTACTATGTATAAATTTGCTTATTGTGTTATTAAAGGTATCGAATACGAAGATGGTCCCTTTATTTTATAATCCTCCGAAAGCCTCTAAATGATAACTAGCTTGTAATTTTTAGTAAGTAATTAAAATTTTATTGTTGATAAATCAATTTGTTACTGGAAAAAATTCATTAAACTAGTTTTACCTTCAGCTAGTTGCCATTGTTTCAAATAAATTGGAAACGGAAACACAATATTTCTATAGGCAATGTATATTCCGTTCGAATTAAGGAGAAAGGGGTTTTTTGTTTTAAAATAAATTTTTATTTTAAAAATCAGCAGATGAAAGCTAATTCCGATAAATTTTTGTTATTTTCATTTTTATTAAATTCTTATATTTTAAAATATTCTTAAAATTTTTTTACTTTTGCCAATAAAGATATTCTTCATGTCCTTAAGGTTATTTTCCTTGAATATTATTGAAGTCTTGTTTATTTTATATTTTTTTTTTAACCATCATCAATGAATTTTTTTGATTACATTTATTTATAAAAAAAAAATAAATTTAACAAATAAAGTACATGCCTTTACGAAAAATTTTTGTAGGCTATTTAATAAATTATCTGAACAATTATTATTAGTATTTTCTCTTTGATTTTATCAATTCAAATTAGATTTTTAAGAAACAATATTATGATAAAGAATCATGGATGAAGAACTTACTGATTTCTTATATAATGTCTAATTTCTATCATGGAATTAAGAAGATAAAAGTTGTAATTTCTACAAAAGTTTGAGATTGAGTAAAATATACATAAAACACAAAGTATTTGCTTTCTCGTATCTTTACAATAGTCGGAGCAACAATTTTTTGTTTTTACTATCAGGCAAGTGCTTGGAGCAACACGTTTAATATGTACAATATATGCTATTGCATATATAAGACATGCAAGTAGAAAAAAATCCGAAAACATCATCTATTCGCAGTTAAAGACTATTAGTGACTAAGCATTGAACGTCATCATTTAATAAGAAGGGAAGAGGTAAAAGAATTTTGCTACAAGATTTACCTTTTGGGATAATTTGCACTGATAAGTTTTAAGTCAATTAAGAGAATATCATGATAGTGAGTCGACTGCCAAGAGTAAACTGTTAACAGTCGTCTCATTATCATAATATCAGTACTGAGAATTTTTATTAACACTATGCAACAATCTTGTCATAGGTTTAGTTTTTTTTCACAACATCATCGTATGATAATGAATCATAAATATCCCCACAAATCTCAGTATATTTTTGCACGAAACCTGCAGCCTCTCTGTTATGGCTCTAAACGGCTCTAATATTTGCTTCAGCCATAACTATGTCACATTTATAATAGACAGACAAGAATTGCTTTAGGCAGAGCTTTCCCAACATTGAACTTCTTTCAAATCTACAAGAAATATTCCAGATATTAATAGTAGAAAAGTGACAAAACTATAAAGAATTTAGGATCCGAGCTGACCTTTGAAATGATAATAACGTGAATCTACATTCTTCTTATCAAAAACAAAGGACAAGAGGCAAAATACTCTTATTTTTCTTATTATTACACTAGGTTTGCTCTTAGAAGTTTTTAATTTAAATTTTTTCTCTTTCTTAAATTGTTTTCAAAAATTTTCTTTATTTCATCCAAGAATTGGCAGATACATAATACAAAAATCAATGTTCATTCATTCATGTTAATTGCAAAATTATATAGGAATAGATTACATTTAACTATATGTAGGTGTGTTTGGCAAGACAACCATTAAAAACAAAATAAGATACGTTTTATTACAGTTTGGACACATTTAAATAAAATTATACTGAAAAAGTTTTCTGTAGGTACACAAGAACGTGTTTATATTAAAACAATATCAATATAGCTATAATACTCGTAATATTTTCGTAGGTGATTTCAGGTGTATTCAATAAAACTAAATCTTTGGTTGTATATGTTATAAATATTGTCAGAATATAATATTAGCCAAAGTAAAAGCATATTGTTTTTTTCTTAAGGTAATTTAAAACGTTTTCAGTATAGATTAACGAAAAGAGATACCATAAAGAAAAAGTTTTTACAAAAAAAAAATCGCATTTTCTATAAGTATTCCTATATACACATATATATTGTGCAGGTATAGATATGTGTGTATATGTATATGCATGTATACATACCCTGTTAGTGGATATGTAGAACATAATATTTTGTTTCGTTACTTACTTAAAAGAATACAAACAATGTAAACTTACTTACAACAATGTATTTTTCTACATCTTGATTGAGCTGACCATTTCTCTTCAATATTTCGGAACAATACCGAATTAAAGCTGGGCCATTGATCGATATTATTGGCGGTAAGTACCTACCGTTATTTCAAAAATTAGATGAAGCAGGAGAAACCCTTGAATTAATTCTTATGAATTTTTTTCTACATGTACACACAATTTGCATTACTTTAATAGAATGCTTAAGTTACTTGCCCTACTACACATTTCCGTTTGCGAAAATATCGATTTTATCATGTGTATGTATGTTTGGTTGTTTGTTGAATCAAAACAAACCAAACATACATATACCTCAGAAACTTCAGACATACATATAACCTTCAGGAAACAATCAGATTTCCTCCAAGCATCCAGCAGTGCTGGTATTATATAACATCAATTGAATATATACGTAGATTCAAAAAGTAATGTTATGAGAGTTATTTTCGGCTATGGCTTCGGACAATGTCTATAATCCCGAATATATGTATTTTATAATCCCGAATAAACATCTGGATGAAAATGGTCAGCCTAATTTTGATGTAAAAAAAATCAATACTTGAATTATCAAAGAAAATAATGGGGAAGAAAGGAGAAGGGAAGGAGGGTAAGTGAAATCACAAGAGGCCTGTTACGTTTCTATATAGCAAAAATAAAATATAAGTTGAAATTGTAAAACATGTGAAATATTTTAAGACTTT